ATTTTCATATTTGAAATCAAAATTGAGAAATTTAAGAGATATACTTATTATTTCACTAAAAATAACAAAAATAAGCCTATTACATTAACATAAATAACATTTTTGAAAGAGAATTTTCCAGACAAAAAATAATGAGAAGGACATTGATTTTATATTTTTGCAGATCTCTTTGATGTCTAGCTTAGAAGATAGCTGGATTTTCCTCTCTGGCTTCTACATTCAATCCCTTGTAATATGCTGGTTTGGTTGAAGTATATAAGTAAAAGCTGACTTTACACAGATATGTTATTGGAAAGGGAAGGTATTTTATCTTTGTTATTATGCCAAAACACAAGAAAGGTTGGTTGCATTGTGGAATCTGAAACCATATCAATGAGCTTTTCATTCAGGTTAAAATCCACCAGTCTGTTATATACTTTGAATGGATGTCATGTACTGGTCACTTGAAAAAATACTGGTTCCCTAAGTTATACAGATCTTTTAAATGTACATTTCCTAATATGATACTTAAAAAAATCATATAGTTTAGCTCATTCTAACAGTCTCATTAGAAAAGCCTTGAAGTATGTATTGGGATGTTGTTGAGCTCAAAGGCAGATATGAGTTCTCTAAAATTCAAATTGTCACAAAAGCTTGAATTTTATCAATGGAAAGAATGTTTGTTTTTTTAAAGTAACAGCCTTTTTCATTAATTTTTAAGAAAATGTATCTTAAGTACGCAGGTCCTGAATAACCTTAGTTTTTCTGTCAATCATTCTTGTGGGTAAAAATGGTGTTCTTCGAAAAAAATGATTTAGTCGAACATACAGCTCAGTCAAACGAGTGCCTTTCGCTGAGACAGCCGTATCCCTTGGCATTCTGTAAAAGTGATTTCTGTGTACTTCCCGTCTTACTGCAGACTACTTTTTTAAAAATGTACCCAAGGATTGGCTTTTAAAAAATATTTGTTTATTTATTTGGCTGCTCTGAGTTTTAGTTGTGGTATGTGCAGTCTTTGATCTTCCTTGTGGCATGCAAAAAATCCCATGGGGCATGTGGGATCTAGTTCCCTGACCAGGGATTGAACCTGGGCCCCATGCATTGGGAACATAGAGTCTTAGCCACCGAACCACCAGGGAAGTCCCAAGAGTAGGCATTTAATAAAATTAATCATTTGTATTGCTTCATCAAGGGCATGCTTTAGTGAAACTGGCGTCGTTGTTGTTAACCAATGGGCTATAGCAAGAAAGAATATAGTAACTACTCCTACAGTTGGGTGCCACTGCTTTGATTTGTGCTCAGGTTCTCTAAGTGTATCCACCATTGCTCTTTTCGCATGATCATTGCAAATGTCAACACCATAACAAAGGCAAAGAATGTCTTAATAGTATTATGAAAACAGTTTTGATTTATGGGCCCCCAGAGTGTGTCTCAGGGGTGCTCTGGGGTCTGTGGACCATTCAGACTCTCTGCCATAGTTGACTTAGATCACCCAGGATGAGTGTATAGAATAAAGTAAGAATCTGCATAGAACCCTGAGGAAACTGTTTTTGGAAAAGGCAGGCTTCCTAGGTGGCTCAGTGTGATAAAATATCTGTCTGCCAAGCAGGAGACGCAGCTTCAGTCCCTGGGTCAGAAAGATTGCCTGGAGAAGGAAGTGGCAACCCACTCCAGTATTCTTGCTTGGGAAGTTCTGTAGACAGAGGAGCCTGGCCAGCTACAGTCCATGGGGCTGTAGAAGAATTGGATAGGACTTAGCAACTAAGGGCTTCCCTTACGGCTCAGCGGTAAAGAATTCATGTGCCAAGCAGGAGATGTAAGTTCGGTCCCTGGGTTGGGAAGATCCTCTGGAAGAGGAACACTCCAGTATTCTTGCCTGGAAAAATGTCCCATGGACAGAGCAGCCTAGCGGGCTACAGTCTATGAGTCAGTCACAAAGAGTTGGACACAGCTGAGCACGAGCTACCTTTAGCGACTGAAAAACAATAACAGAAAGGAAGAAGAAACCCAAAAGAAGATAAGAGGTATGATAGCCATACAGTATTTGATCATATCAGTGTGCACATGCGGGCATCACCTCCTGGGAAGAGGGGCAGCCGCCCAGATGGAGGTGGTGAGGAGCCAGCAAGGTGAGGCGACTTGCCTGCATTGGCAGGTGGATTCTTTATCACCTAGCCACTTGGGAAGCCCCTGAAAATATCAGTAGTTAGCATTTACTAAGTACTCACTTTGTCGCAGCCACCATTCTAAGTACTGAACATTAAATCTTCATAGTAACTTTATGAAGTAGATAGATACTGTAGTTATTCCTCATTTACAGATGAAAAAACTGAAACAACCAGAAAAGTAAGTAACTTGTCCAAAGTACATAGCACATTGTCCAGACTAGCAGTGCATACTAAAAAATCTAGTTCTACTGGGGAAAGTGTGACAGAAAGGAAGCTAAGAGAAAAGAGCATTTCAAGGGGGAAAGCATGCTCAAAATGTCAAAGGGCACTGAGTTGTCAGGTAAGATAGGGGCCTGAAAAGTATCCATTTGATTTCACAGTAAGATCATTAACGACTTTGGCAAGAGCAGCTTCAGTGGAGAATATGGACCGAAGCCAGATGAGAGACACAAGAGGGTTCAGGAATGAGTAGGAGTTAGAAGAGAAGTCATGAGGAGAGAACTTTTTCAAGAACTTTCGTTGTGAGATGGTGAGAGCCAAAGGGTGTGAGGGACAGGAAGAGCTGTGTTAGGATGGGAAAACTTGAGCATATTCAAGGTCCGAGGAGAAACAAGCTGAAAGCACAAAGCTGAAAATAATAGGAAAAAAGAAGGACTAAATAGAATGAAATTTCTGATCGGGAAGAGAATAGATCTAAAGCACAGGGATATTAGTTTTAGATAAAGTGGTTCTGATGCACTAGGTGAAGATGCTCCTTTCTCTTCTTAGTCAAGCTTCTTAAGGGAGAGCCCTAGCTATTTCCACTTCTTTTTTTCTCCTCTCTATATTTTTACTGCTCTAACTCACTACTGTCCTTTAGAGTCTCCATTTCACTGGAATTTATTTAGTGAAGGTTATCACTGGTCTCTAAATTGCCAAATCCAGTGGATACTGAAGTCCTTGTCTTACTTGATCTCTGCCTCATTTGATACGACTCCACCTCGGACCTTCCCACCCACTAAATTCACATTTTATGTTGTGTTTCCTAGTATTCTTACCTTCATTCTCTTTAGTTTATATTCCTTTCTTATGCAGTCAATCCACCCTCATAATTTTAGCTACTACCTATATTCTCGTTCTCTCTCTTCTTTCTCATATCTTTGTGTATATGTTATCTTAAGCCCCTTTTCCAGGTTTATTTGCCTTACTAGACTGTTAAATTTCAATGTTCCACAAGTACTTCAAAATCAGTATACAGACAACTCATCTTTCACTCCTAAATTTGCTTTTCTTATCTTATTCTCTACTTGGTTGAGGCACCATAATCAACTTAGTTTTCCAATCTGGAAACATAGAAGGCGCCCTTGATTTTTTATTGGTTCTTTTTCTTTTGGTTCTTATATCTACCCAGTCACCAAGTTCTATCAGTTTCACTTTCTTGCCATACCTTAGGTTGAATCCAGCCTTGCCTTTCCATTTCTGTAGCCTTAGTTCAGTGCTTTATGACATCTAGCATGAATTTTTTACAATAGCCTAAAATCTTTTCAGTGACTCTCCATCAACTGTGGGATGAAATTCAAGCTTAACATAACATGCAAGGCACCTGTGATCTGGCCCCTAACTACTTGTGTAGTTTTTTCTCCTATCACTGTCACCACCCCCACTCCCAATTTGTACATTGCATAGTTCTCTAAGCCCTTTCTTATCTCTTCTTTAGCACATGCTGTTCCCTCTGCCTCAGTATCTTTTTTACTTTCTCCTTCCCTTTCAACTCTACAGAAGCTGCTCAAATTTTTTATGTGATTGGTTTATTAAGAATTCAATTGTAGGCAATTCCCTGGCAGTCCAGCGGTTAGAACTCTGCACTTTCACTGCCAAGAGTTTAGGTTCAGTCCTTGATCCCACAAACCAAGTGGCGTGGCCAGAAAGAGAGGAAGGAAAGATGGAAGGAAGGAAAAAGAATTCAGTTGTAAAGGGAAAGGACTTTCTGAATTTGTTTTCTATGGAACTCCACATTTACCTTTAAATATCTCAGCTTTCATCTCTCCGTGTGTGTGTGTGTGTGTGTGTGTGTGTGTGTGTGTGGGCGGGCGGTGAGGGGGGAAGATGAATGGGTAGAGCATTCAGGTTCAAAATATTTAGTTACTCAGTACTCTTCATTTAATGATATACCATCTTCATCAGTCTGTATAAGACCTTTCTCTTTTTATTGTATTTTTCCCGTCTTCATCTTGTTGTCTATTTCTGTTTCTTTGATGGTTATTTTTCTTTTTTATATATCAGTTTTTACATTTTTGTATTTTTCCAGAATTGATCTAAGCCAGTGCTTCCCAACTCAATCATGTTGCTGCACACGTAGAAAATAATATGTGCATGCACAATGGGTACGTGAGACCAAAGGCTACAGACAGGGTTTCTAGCTACCGTCCACCCCATGGACCACCCTGAGAGCTAAGCAACATCTCGACATAAGCATAGCCCATCTCGGGGCTTCCCTGGTGAATCATTGGTAAAGAATCTGCCTGCCAGTGCAGGAGACACAGGTTGGATCTCTGATCTGGGAGGACCCCACATGCCAAGGAGCAGCTGAGCCCATGCAGCACAAGTATTGAGCCTGTGGTCTAGAGCCCAGAAACAACTCTTGAGCCCACTCGCTGCAACTGCTGAAGCCCATGCACTCTAGAATCCGTGCTCTGCAACAAGAGGAGCCACCGCAATGAGAAGCCTGATCACTACAACAAAGAGTAGCCCCCACTCACCACAACTAGAGAAAAGCCCAAGCAGCAACAAAGACCCAGCACAGCTATAAATAAATAAATAAATATTTTTAAAAGTAAATGAGCCTTAAAAAAGAAAAAAGTATGGCCCATCTGTGTTATCTGCCATGATACATTAGTTGAGAAACTCAATCTAGACTTTCAAATATATTTGTATATAGTTCATATTCGTCAGTGATGTTGCAGTGGGTCACAAAGAATTGTTGGTCCAGCTCTTGTCTTTAGTATGTAAGAGCAAAGTGGTGAGTAATTTAATCTTAAATTAACCCAGGCTTAGGTCAGCTGCTACCATGTATCTGGAGGGCAAGAAAGGGGCAGAATGAAATGATCTCTATGGAGCACGATAGATACATTACAATCAGGGTTTGGATCACTAGACTCATGTTCCTGGTGTGGCAGGTAGAAAGGAGTAGTTTGCCACCGTAGACCACTAAATGCCTACTTACTCAGATCTTCAGGCAAAGGGCAGTCTGGTCTTTAAATTATTTAAAACTTGGGCAACAGATTGATCCTAGACTGAACAGAAAATCACAAGATAAGTTGAGTTCTCTATGTTATCCAGGACAGTAGTTTTCAACTAGGATATCAGGACTCCTTTACACTATTAAAAATGATCAAGAACCCTAGAGAGTTTTTATTTATATGGATAATAACTATCAATATGTACCGTTTTAGAAATTAAACAATTTTTTAAAGTATTTACTCATTTGCTTATAAATAACAATATATTGTATTGGTAATGTTAACTAATGCTTTATGAAAATTTAGCACTTTCCCAAAACAAAAAAAAATGTGAAAATAGTATTATTTTACATTTTTGAGTCTTTTTGTCATCTAGCAGCTATATTCTCATCAGTTCTGCCTTCAGTCTCTTGGCTGTGTGTCATGTAAGCTGTGGAAATTTTCAGTGTACACTTACAAGAGAGTGAGAGAGAAATGAACTGTTATGAAACTATAGAATTATTATGAGAATAATTTTGACCTTGCAGAGCAGAGCTCCTGAAAAATGTCACAAGTCTCCAGGCACACTTTGAGAAGTGCTGATCTAGCAGAAATGATGAATGATAATTCTAGGCTCTTTGGAATTAGACCAACCTAGATACCTATTTTCTGTTATTCTAAATGCCAGGTAAGTGATACGGAATGAATGCATGACTAGTATTTGTTTTGTTCAGATTTCGGGTTTGAAACGTTTTTTTGTTTGCTTGTTTTTGGCTGTGCCACACAGCATGTGGGATCTTAGTTCCCCAGCCAGAGGTCAAACCTGTGCCCTCTGCAGTGAAAGTGTAGAGTTCTGACCACTGGGCTGCCAGGGAATTCCCCTGTTTTGAATTTTTTTAACACAGGAAAAGTTCTTTTTCAATCATAATTCCTTATTGTGGGTTTTGTGCTTCATGCTTTGGTACAATATCAGTGCCCAATAAATATTTCGTCAAATAAGCAGATTTTCTTAAGGTCTGTCCAGCTGTCACTGACTTGATGCCTTTCATTGAACTGTGTCTTTCATTGAACTCTGAACTAATGAGGACAGGATGTGAGCTTATGACAGCTCTAGGATATTAAGTCTGCTTCAAGGTCTAGATAATAAAGCAGTTATCTTGGCTTCACCCAAGTGGTCAGGGTAGAAACCTGTCCCTGTTGTGTGAAAGAGGATTTCCTGCTCTTCTCACTTTGTTCAAGGTACCATCAGGGAGTACCCAGACAAAACTGTTTCTAGTAAAAATAATAATAGCTGCTTTTTAATGAATGTTTACAAAGTTTCAGTTACTGGGTAGACATACATCATGTCAATTCCTGATGGTCCGTATGGTCAAAGCTATGGTTTTTCCAGTAGTCATGTATGGATGTGAGAGTTGGACCATAAAACTAAACACTGAAAATTGATGCTTTTGAACTGTGGTGTTGGAAAAGACTCTTGAGAGTCCCTTGGACTGCAAGATCAATCCTAAAGGACAACAGTCCTGAATATTCATTGGAAAGACTAATGCTGAAGCTCCAGTACTTTGGCCACCTAATGGGAAGACTCATTGTAAAAGACCCTGATGCTGGGAAAGATTGGAGGCAGGAGAAAGGGACGACAGAGGATGAAATGGTTAGATAGCATCCTCGATTCGATGGACAGGAGTTTGAGCAAGCTCCGCTATTGGTGATGGACAGGGAAGCCTGGTGTGCTGCACTCCATGAGGCCGCAAAGAGTCAGATATGACTGAGCTCTACTGTAACTATGTCATTTCATCTTTAAAATAACCCTGTGGAGCAGATATTTTCATCCTCATTCTGTAGGTAACTGTCATGAAGTCTATTAGCTGGTAAAATCTGCCTAGCCCCAGGGCCTTTAATCTGACTGGATTAAGGAAGAGGCCTGCTTCAGGGAATAAGAATAAGAATTGGAAAGACTTTTTTGTTCTCAGGTCTACTTCTTCATTCAGTTAACATAAATGAGAGATGATTCAGTGCTTTTATCTCAGATGTGATATGGCACCAACTCAACAACAAAGAATGGCTACCTTTTTTTTTTTTTTTGGCCACACCATGCAGCTTGTGGGATTTTAGTTCCCCAACCAGGGATTGAACCCACCCAAGGAAGTCCACTTCTTGCAGTGGAAACATGAAGTTCTAAGCACTGAACTGCCAGGGAAGTCTCAAGTATTGCTGCCTTAATTAATTACCCTTCTGGATACTGATCAGTGCTGGGTCCAAACTGAGCTCCAACAGCAAGGGTTGGATCCAACAGCAAGCTACACCTATCACTCAGCATGCAATTATTGAGCACAGAACCTTGGTAAATACAAAAGCAGTATTCTCTGTCTTCTCAAGGAGTTTAAAATGGGTAGGAGTTTAAAATGTTTGTACACAGAATTATATACCAGGAAATATAAACTAATGTTTCTATTAGCATTGGTATTTGAATGAAAGTTTTATACTACTTGTGTAAAAGAGAAGAATGGGTTACAGATGTGGATTACTTTGTGCTCTGAATCAGTGTTTCCCCATGTCTTGGGAACTTTGGTGATAAAGGTAAAAGAAGTTTTCACAGAGAAAGATAATAAACAGAGCTTCTTATTTTCAGTCCCTCCCTTAGAGATAAATTCTGGATTTGAATGCAGATAAATAAAATAGGTCAAGAGCACTCCATCTTACACCTCCCAGTTATTATTTCATCATACAACTCCCTAAGATGCTAAGAGAGTTAGAACTGATTTTGACTTATTCTGAAAGTGATTACATAAAGCTTTTCTTAGAACTGAGGCTCATAGAAATATTTGGTTATGGAAAAGAGGGAGATCTTTCTTAAAGAGCCAAGGAATAATTCCTCAATTTTCAAATCTAAAAGTTATAAATTAATTATAATCAATGATATCATCATAGAATCTTAGAAAATCTTACACATCATCTCCTTTAGATGGCAAAACCAAAACTCAATTATTAAGTGACTTGACCAAGTTTATGTGTCTTATTATTGGTAGATCTGGGACTAGAACTGAGTACTAATAGGTAATTTCTTTCTTACCACTCTTTGTAGTTTCTGGGGTTTTTTTTCTTCAGAGCTTCAAAGTTCTAATTACTTCCATAGTCTTTTGATTAGGCAGGAAGGTGACCATGACCAAGGATATTTGTTTAGGAAGAGCTCAGTCTCAGTTCTACTTTTCCCTCCAGTTAAGATCTTGATGGTTTGATATAAGGAGAACTATCATTTATTAAGCACTTTCTTGCGTCAGGGTCTTCATATACATTATATCATTGTACCTACAAGATTCAAGTAAAGTAGACCCGCTTCTAATGGGAATATGAATGAATCCCCTGGGAATCTTGTTAGTACAGATTCTAATTTTGCTGGTCTGAGATGGGGTTTGAGATTCTGCACTTCTAAAAAGCTTCTAGGAAAAGTCAGTAATGCTATTTATCTGTTGGCCTTATGTTCAGTAGCAAGAATGTTGATATTATTTTTTATCTTACAAATGAAAAAAAAACTGAGTTTTAGCAAGACTAAATAAGTTGCCCAGGTTCATACAGGTGGTAAATGGTAGACTAATGATTTGATCTAGGTCTTTCTTACTCTAAAGCTCAAAATGTGATAAGGGGAACCAGGGAAAAATGGAAAGAGAGCTTATGTTCCAATATTTCTTAAACAGGTCACTTCTCAAGTGAATCAGTGGCAGAATTCAGGATTAAATCAAAAAGTTCTGGCTCCCTGCCAAGTGTTTCCCCCTTTTCTTTTTATCAGTCCCCTAATCAGGATTTTTGCTTAATGCCTAGCAAACAATTTTTAGAATTGGCTTTTGGGTTTTCTCCATTACAGGTTTATTGCCAAACCCTGTGCACTCCATGTTGGCATCCAGGACAGTGGTCCTTATCAGGCACAACCTAATGCTATCCTTGAAAAGGTGTTCATGTCTATTACCAAGGTAAGTGGGCCAAAAAAAAAAGGAAGATTTTTGTTAGGGTTCATCCCATAGGGCATGGGAGGATAGAGAGTAAGTATTTCCAAGGCTAAGGATAGGATGGGATGATCTTTCATGTTTGGATAGTCCGTAGAGCTATTAGGAGAACTTTATCCACTCAAGGAAATACCTTTGGGCTAGGATACCTTAAATAAGTCAGGATTACATACATTGGAGATTTAGGCCTAGCAGTCACCACCACCCCTACTCCCCTCCCCAAGACACACATCATATTTTGATTTTGTTTTTCCCTGCTTCAGCTCTTGTCATTACCTAGTTGCATAATCAAGATAGAGATGTTACTGATAGCCTTTTCAGGTTGGATTTTGGGGGTTTTTTAATTGAAGGATAAATACCTTACAGAATTGTGTTGGTTTCTGCTGAATATCAACATGAATCAGTCATAGGTATACATATGTCCCTTCCCTCTAAACCTCCCTCCCAGGTTGAGTTTTTAATTTTTTTTTTTTACTCATTTGGGCCGGAGGGAGAAAACCAAATAGGTATGTGTATAGGTGAAGGTCCTTGATGTGTAAAATAGTACTTCTTACATAAAAATGACTTTGGGGATGAAACTTGGAAAAAAAAACATTACTTAAGTCACTGTAGTTATTACCCCTCTGCCACTCAGCTTGTCAAAGGGCTTTAATGAGAGAGGTTTGAAGAAAAAGCAATGTTCTGACTCTGGTCATACGCCTACAGTATCCTGATGAGAAAAGGCTGGAGGGCCTGTCAAAGCAACTAGACTGGGATGTCCGAAAAATCCAATGCTGGTTTCGCCATCGGAGGAATCAGGACAAGCCCCCAACGCTCACTAAATTTTGTGAAAGCATGTAGGTGTACGGAAGGAGGTGGGGAGAGAGGAGAAGGGTGGGGTATGACTGAACTAAGGTTTTGTTTTTGGAAATCACTTCTCCTGTTAGGATAACAGTCAATGGATGCAAAGGGCTAACTCTGTTATAGGCTGGAAAGAAGAGACTGAAAGCCTGGTCACCCTTAGTTTCTTAGACATGCTTGCCCCTAAGCTAGCTGTAGTTGCATTTTGTTCACCTTTCCCAAAGAAATTAGGAATTCCTCTACTTTCGCTTACGTAGATAGATATGCACACCCTTGTATACCCTGGTAGAGATAGTTCCAGCTTGCTATAGATTGACATTTTAATAGGAAGCATCCCTTTTCTGGACATGCTGTAGTTCATTTCACTGGGTTTTTACTGATTATCCTCTGGACACCAAGCACTATTTCTCATTGTCATGCAAAAAAAAAAAAAAACCAAAAAACCCAAACATAGGCACTATCATCAGGGAGTCTGATATAGAAGAAAAGTTCACTGAAACCAGTATATACTTGTAGAAATCTTATTTTTAAACAGAGGCTGGAAGATTTTTATGTCTTTGGCTTTTTGGGTAACATTATATCATCAGTTTCTTATGATAACTGTGTTATCCCCAAATGTGCTATCTTGAATTCTTTAGCTCAAAGACTTTCTTTTGAGTAAATGTTTGTCTAACTTCTACTCTTCACCCATCTAGGTGGAGATTCACTTTTTATTTATGTATATTCTGCTACGGAATTAGATTTCTCTGGTCGGTGAGTCTGAACTTTCTCTGGTTCTCTGTTGGGTTCTAATCATTCGTGCATCCTTAGAGATAAGAGTTAAATACCTTTAGAGCTTTGTCCTCTACTCTCTTTTGTTTTTTCTTTGTGATGCCTAGAGCCCAGGTTTATAAGCTAAATAGATTGTCTTCTGTCTGGGGCCTGACATCAGTAACCTCATGACTCTGTTTCTCCTTAAGTAATGCTAATAATAATAGTATTAATTAAATCAACATAGTACATGATGGTTTACAAGGCATTTGACAAAAGTCCTATTCTTGCAAGGAGGAGACAGTTACAGAAATGAAGTCAGTAACTCATTGAAGTAGCTATTATTCCTGCTTTGCAATTGATTATCAGAGTCAAAGAAGAATTTCAGGCTTTTTGATCATGAGTCTTTTTTTTTTCCCCTACTGTACCACAGTATTTTCCTCTAAATGCATAATTTAAGTTTCAAAATATGTGAAACATAAGGAAGCAGAACTGAAGGAAGGGAATAGACAATTACACAATCCTATTTGGAGATTTTAATGCTCTTAATTGAAATCATTAGACAAAAAAAAAAAAAAATCACTGAGGATGTAGAAGGTTTAAATAACAGTCCAACCAGTTTGGCTTAATTGACATTTATAGGACACCACACCAGCAGCTGAAGGATATATATTATTTATTATTTTTATTTATTTTTTTTTTGAAGGATATATATTATTTTCAAGTCTATGTAAAAGATAGCAACTAAGATAGACCATATGCTAGGCCATAAAATTAGTCTCAGCAAATTTTAAAATTTTGAAATCTTATAAAATATGTTCTCAGACCATAATGGAATTAAAACAGGAATCAAATCAATAATAATAAGACATCTAGAAAATATTCATAAGTTAAACAACTCTCCTGAATAACCCAAAGATCAAATAAGAAATCACAAGGGAATTAGAAAATACTTTTAATTGAATGATGCTGAAAATACAACATACCAAAGTTTGTGGTATGCAGCTAAAGCATACTTTTGAGGAAATTTATAACTTTAATTGTTTATATTAGAAAAGAAGAAAACTTTAAAATCAATGATTTAAGTTTTCATTTTAAGATCCAGAAAAAGAAGAGCAAAGTAAACCCAAAGTAAGTTAAAGGAAAGAAAGAAAAAAAAGAAGAAAAGCAAAAATTGATGAAATAGGCATTAGAAAATAATGGAGAAAATTACTAAAGCCAAAGGTTGGTTCTTTGAAAGTTTTAATTAAAATTGATAAACCTTTAGAAAAAAACAAGAAAACAAATTATCAGTATCTGGGAGAAAAAGAGGCTATCACTATAGGTCCTGTAGACATTGAAAGAATAGTAAGGCCACATTATGAACAGTTTAATAGTAATAAATTCAACAATTTAGATGAAATGGATAACACTTTCAGAGGACATAATTGAAACTCCATTGGAGATGATTACTTTTGACTTTTGAATCTTTGGCACAGAGAGATCTCCTACTAAATGAAATCATTGTCTTCCTGCCTCCCAATTTCCTATATATTCCAGGTCATGATGTTTCCAAAAGCTATCCTAGCACTCTCTTTGCTCTTGTGTCTGGTTTCTCTCTTCGTAATAGCACTTTCTTCTTCTAGGAAAAAAGTATAATTGTTTATTTATCCTTTAAGGATCCCTAAATTCTGTCTAGAGGGATTCTATTTTCTTTCCCATCTCTTTGCCCAAAGTATAGAGAGAAAGGTGTAGATGGGCCAGGGGGGAATTCTGAAAATTGACTTGGATTATTTATTTTCTCTTAGTCACCTTGGTTCTGGGACACCCGACAGTGCTGGCACAGTTACCCTTATCAGGTAAGATCTGAGCCCTTCAAGACAGGGGCCTTATGTGTGTGTGTGGGGGGGGGATGGGGTTGGGGAGAGTGCATCGCCAGTCCCAGGGCAGATGGCACATTCCCTTGAGATTCTTAAGGGATTAGGGACTGAGTCTCTTTGAGTCATATGTTCACAGTATGTATTTTTGGGGTCCCCAACAGCAGTGAAGTCCAGGGATCTGTTTATTCCAGATATTCACCCTAATTGGGCTGGAAAGAGAAGCAGCTTCCTGGCACTTAATGAGGTGCTTTCTGGTTCAGGTGTCCCTTTTGAATCCCATAAGAGCATCTTGGTTGTAGTCTAAAGTAGAAAAATGTCAAGGGGTTGCTAACAGGGTGGAAGAAGGAAAGGCCTCAGTGTATTTAATCCCCTGAAAATTGCCCAGAATTCTAGAAACACTGATTTGATTGTGGTGTGTGTGTGTGTGCGCGTGCGCATGTGCGCACGTGCTTAGTTGCTCAGTCATGTCTTTGTTAACCCTGAAAGTGAAAGTCACTCAGTCATGTCTGACTCTTTACAACCCCATGGACTATACAGTCCATGGAATTCTCCAGGCCAGAATACTGAAGTGGGTAGTCGTTCCCTTCTCCAGGGAATCTTCCCAACCCAGGGATTAAACCCAGGTCTCCCACATTGCAGGTGGATTCTTTACCAGCCCGAAGAAGACTGGAGTAGCCTATCCCTTCTCCAGCAGATCTTCCCAACCCAGGAATCAAACTGGGGTCTCCTGCATTGCAGGCAGATTCTTTACCAGCTGAGCTACCAGGGAAGCCTATCTGATCTCTAAAAGATGAGCCAAAGATGCTTATGGGCTTCCCAGGTGGCACTAGTGGTAAAGAACCCACCTGCTAATGCAGGAGATATAAGAGACGTGGGTTCTATCCCTGGGTCGGGACGATCCCCTGGAGGGAGGGCATAGCAACTCACTCCAGTATCCTTGCCTGGAGGATAGAGGAGCCTGGCAGGCTATAGTGCATAGGGTTGCAAAGAGTTGGACATGACTGAAGTGATTTAGCACACAAAGATGTATATGTGGAAGGGAAGAGTTTTAAGCGTCAACACCAATGCAAAGTCTGTTAACTATTGCACATCTTGGAAGATGATGGAGAGGAAGAATATTTAATAATCGGGGGTATGAGTTCGCTGGCACAGAGAAAGTTGGGGACATGGAATGAGTCTTTGACTAACTGGTATCCTCACTACTACTTTTTCTCTTCCAGCCTCTCACAAGTGGGCTTTATTACTATTATATCATGGAATTGGCTTTCTATTGGTCTCTCATGTTTTCTCAGTTTACAGACATTAAAAGAAAGGTAAGGACATTGGCTCCCTTAACACCCTGATTTATGACACCCTCCTTTCCAGCAGCTACCATTATTATCATTGTGATGGATTCTCTGTCCTGATTAGGACCACAAAAGAGGCTGAAAGTAGGTTCAATGGGACTTTTAGCTGTTTGTAGTGTTCTCAGAAGTGAGACCTGACTAGTGAAGTATATTTGAGTCATTCAAGGCAGCCCAGGATGAAAACAGTTAACCATCTAAGAAGACTACCCTTTTCTTTGTTTTTCTCCAAGGTTCTTACACATAGAAGCTCAAGAAACTAGTCAAAACTTAGGGATAACAAGGCCTGATCCAGGAAAAGCTTCGATTCCAGAAGAACTTTTGCCATTAGTGACCCTTGTTCCCTCTCTGTTCTGTCTTCTTGGTGACCCCACTTACTTAAAAGAATGTCAGTTGGGAGGGGTTTTACATATTTTAGTTTACCCTTTTCTTGCTGTTATTTAGGAAACAGATTCAGAGAAGTGAGTTGACTTGCCTACAGAATGGCAAAGTTGGAAATGACTTAAGTTTTTTGTAAGTATACAGAAAGGGCAGAATCTTCATCTTTTATTGGCATCCACCTGACATAATGCAATTCCAGCAGCTCTAACCCTAATCTGTCACTAACTCATAGTTATCTTTGGTAAGGAAAATAAATCAGAGTTACCTGATTGTAGAACCCAGACATTAATCTGGGTTATTAGTTGTTGTATAACCTAGAAGCGTGATATATAATTTAAATGCCTCTCACCCTCCTTTGGTTATTCAGGACGGTTACACACCCTCCTATGGAGACATAGGTCTCCTTATTAAAATTTCATTTTAATACATGACACATAGAAAAAGGCTTATAATATGTATGTAGGTTTTAAAACGTTCTAGAATGTGTACTTGTGAACTCATCCCAACTCAAGAGCTAGAACATATGATTGTATCCATCCATATGGAGAGCATAGGCTTTATATCCTTGCTTCTCTGATGCAATTTACCTGCCTCCTCCCACACTCTATCCCTCACTGGGCTGAGAAGTATTTATTAGATGTGTGTAATAACTCAGGTATTTAGAGATTTCTCAGGGTCTAACCTTGTTATTTGAACCCAAGAGGAAGTTAGAGCTTTAAATCTGAGAGCAGGAAGTGCTTGTTTAGCATTTCTCTGAAATGTTTTGGAATAGCTTCTCCCCTCCACAAACCTCCCCTTTCTCTTAGGTCCCTTTGGTTGAAATTGCCTTCATCAATGCAGAAGAGTCTCAGATGCTCAAGGAATCTGAGATATCTAAGGCTTATATGCCTGACTACCACCTGGGAAATTATCTCTATGTATCATCTAAGCATCTGAAGTCTACATGTTCAGCAGCTACCAAAGAAAATTGCTCTTTTCTGTGTTTTGAGCTATAGATTGAGTGTAGATTATGGGTCAGTCACTGATGTAGAGAGTTTTGGGTGAAATGTTAGGCAGCTCCCTAGGGGAGAATTTAAACAAGATGAAACTTAAGGGATGGGATGAGATTCTCTGAGAACAGTGCAGGGCACTGAGTTGTGTAGCAGCTCTGTGGCCTTGCCTTTACCTGCCTCTTCTATTTGCATTCCTTCCTAGGACTTTCTGATCATGTTTGTGCATCACCTGGCCACCATTGGGCTTATTACCTTCTCTTACATCAACAACATGGTTCGAGTGGGAACGCTGGTCTTGTGTCTACATGATGTCTCAGACTTCTTGCTGGAGGTAAGACCCCTCAACGACTCTTTCCTCACTAGTCCTCTTTACTTTTCTTCCTATTTGAGAACTGACTTTCTCCCCAATTCAATTCTTATCTTTCTTTCTCTAGGCAGCCAAGCTAGCCAATTATGCAAAGTACCAGCGTCTCTGTGACACCCTTTTTGTGATCTTCAGTGCTGTTTTTGTGGTGACTCGCCTAGGAATCTATCCATTCTGGTAAGTGTTAGGGCTGTGGAGCTGTGGTAAATATGTAACAATAAACTGGTCACCAGTTTAGGGAACAGACACCAAGGTTCCTTAACCTTACATATTGTTCTGCTTTTTGCTTGACTTACCTGACCTTTTATGGATTCTTGAAGGACCTCATTTCCCTTGTACAGTATTTCTAATGCAGTATATGATGTAGACCGAGAGCATACAACTCACTTAGCTATGGCTCTCCTGATGTATCTCTGAGGATTAGTCCTCATCTTATGCCTAAGTAACTCCTTTGCCTTCTTTTGCACCAATTACAGACGTCTCGGGCTTTTGCTTATTTTCCTGCTCTATACTGTCTCCCACCCTGACCACTGCCACTCCCAAACCACTCTCAATTCTATACTCATGACTTTATATGACAAGTCATTGATTGACTCTCTGGGTTGGAGATTTTCCTTAGTCTGAGGGAATTGGCCATCAGCTGTCCTATATGTGCGTGAGGATCTGAATTATTCCTAGGGTTATTGTTAAAATTGTTGTCCCAAATTTGTGATACTCTGCATATTTGGATTAGTAATGTGACTTATTTGAAGTGATTAGTAATCTGATTTATTCTGTCAGTTGCTAAGAATGCTATATCTTCCATTATTCCTAAAGATAGAAAACTCCAGGGGCCCCTTTCTTTACTGTCTTCTCACTGTGCATGAATATCCCTGGAACTTCAACTGATAGAAGGTATGGGGTAAAAACACAAGGTTCTGCTTTCCAGGAAATTCAACTTCATCCCTATGTGTCTGGCTTTGACTCTAGAATCTGACCATTGACCTTCCTCTTATAGGATCCTGAACACAACCCTCTTTGAGAGTTGGGAGATGATTGGGCCCTATCCTTCCTGGTGGCTTTTCAACAGCCTTCTCCTGGTCCTTCAGGTTCTGCATGTCATCTGGTCTTACCTAATTGCACGAATTGCTTTCAAAGCCTTGATCCGAGGAAAGGTAAGGGTGAAAGATGGCTTCTTTCTTTCGGGTATTACCAAGCAAAAAGCCTAGGGCTCTAAGGTTTTCATCTTTTCTCTAAGTATGAGTGTTTAGCAATCTAACACATGACTTAGATGTCAGAGGCAGGATCTGCCTTCTTCCTGTCCCACAGGAATGACTTTTGTTAAATAATAAACAGGATTAGGTTTTGGAGACCATTTCAACCATTACCTACCCCTTACCTACCTACATCATGGATTTCATATTTTTATTTTTAGCATGGAAGCCTTTTTTCAAAGGAAATCATATGCAGAGCTGCAAGATGTAAACTGTATAGAAGCCAAGATGTTAGATTGCCTAGGAGTGGTATGGTAATTCACAAGCCACCCCAAGATGGCCACACTGTGGTGTTCAAGATACAGTTTATGTAAGGAATTAAGTACCAGCCTCCCTTACTGTTGCATGAGGCAGGGTCTTAAGTGAGATGGGTTTTTAGGGCTTCAAATACCCACTTTACGTCAGGAGCCCAAAAGCACAAAGAAAGGCATTATTCTGTGATAAAACTCATAACTGAATTTTGCAAATTCTGAAGCAGTTAGTCAAACTGTGATTAGCCTGAGGGATTCAGCCTTCAGTAGTATACAATCCCAAGGGGAGGGGCTCTGGTGGAGGATACAGACTCTAGGACAAGGGATGGGATGTTCCCAGGAATGTATGGTCTCTTGTGACACTGTTCCTTATGGCTTTAATTGGTTTCAGAACTTGCTTAGTGTGCCTGTGCATCTTGGTGTAGCTACTGGACATCTCTCTTTTCCCCTGCTTTTCTTCCCTGACCAGGTGACCTATCCAGGAAGGATTAGACCCAGACTCTGTACTCTCCACTCTTTTCTCACCTCCTTCCTTTTTTCTATGCCTGGTGGGAGCTGGACAGTTTCATCTCTTGCATGTAAGTGTATCTGTGCTTCTAGTGTTCAGTGAAGCATGTCTATCTGAATGTGTTTCTCTTCCTTCCTGCTTTCCTTTCTGTTTCCCTGCATTGTATGGAGCATGCCTTCTCTCCTGACCTTGTGGGGCATTGTTGAATGGAGCTCAAGTTGCCAGATTCTTTTTCCTAAATTGAGGCAAGAGTAGAGTCTGCTCTGTTTTTTTTTTTCCATTTCTGTTTTTCCCTTCCCGCCCCCATCTGTCCTTTTTGAGCTTCCCTTTCACTCAAATCTAACACACTGCCCTCTGGTGGAAATTTCCTGAAGATCAGATAATCAACTCGTGATCTGGGTTCAGAGGTCAATAGCTATAATAAACCATAGAATCTTAGAGCTAACCAAAGCAAGTACCCCACCCTCTGGTAACAGCAATTGTAGTATTGTTTCCTTATCACCTCCTTCTCTTATTTACTTAAAAAAAAAAAAAACACTCGTTTATTAACCTTCAGTTCTGGAGGGCAAAAGCCTGACAGACACTGGGTGTCTCTCCTTTTTACTTTTATGGTCCATGCTAGAAAATTTGAAATACTTTGCTTGGTATGCAGGATAGTTTAGATCGGAAAACACTGCATTAATCCAAATCCTTCACTTGAAAATACAGAATAAAAAGCTGAGTTTGAAAGGTGAAGATTCATAGAGAACAGCATGATTGGGACTGGGATTCTTGTCTCGCTGACTGCCAGTCTGCTTTTCTTTTCACCATGTTGTGTATCTTCAGGATACTAGAGAGGTAATCCTGTTACAAGAAAAGGGAAAGAATTGAAGAAATAAGCATCATAGGATGTTAACATTTGAGCCCAGGAAGAGTAGAACAGCTGAAAAGACCCAATTGTGGATCAACTTTGGGGATATAGTAAAACTCTGCTGCTGCTGCTGCTGTTAAGTCTCTTCAGTCGTGTCCGACTCTGTGTGATCCCATAGACGGCAGCCCACCAGGCTCCCCCGTCCCTGGGATTCTCTAGGCAAGAACACTGGAGTGGGTTGCCATTTCCTTCTCCAATGTGTGAAAGTGAAAAGTGAAAGTGAAGTCGCTGAGTCATGTCCGACTCTTAGGGACTCCATGGACCGCAGCCTACCAGGCTCCTCCATCCATGGGATTTTCCAGGCAAGAGTATTGGAGTGAGGTACCATTGCCTTCTCCGACTCTAGATAACCAAAACTGCAGTGGAAGTGATGACAACAGCCCTGTATTGTTGTGTTGGCCTTTTCTCTTTTTGAGGTAGAAGAGAAAGGGTATGTGAATGTTTTTAGCTCTTTTAGGTTGGTCCTGAAAGGTAAACTCTTCTACCAAGACAGCTACTTACTTCATTGAGAACAGAATTAGAGATGATGAGAGAAACCCAGAAAGCAGGCAGGTATTCATAAGTCTCTATGGTCCCGATGGTATTTTGAGTCAGGTGCCACCAGAAAGTAGGCCAGATTGGAAACAGTGCCCAACCATGGGCTCTGTGGGCTATGTCTTATGATTCTAGAAAAGTTCTGTCCTTACCTTTCCTACCTTTGGCCCCATCCCTCCCAGGTGTCTAAAGATGATCGCAGTGATGTGGAGAGCAGCTCAGAGGAAGAAGATATAACCACCAGCACAAAAGGCCCCTGTGGCCGCAGCTCCAGCAATGGTGCCAATCGGGTGAATGGTCACATGGGAGGCAGCTACTGGGCTGAAGAGTAAGGCGGTTGGTATGGGGACTTCAGCATAGACGGACTTGTAGGGCCACTGGCCACCTACTTCTCTTGGTCCTCCCCACATCTACATTCCTGGGACTAGGGGGTGTGCAGGGCACTGAGGAGAATCAAAGAAGCAAATATTTTCACTTAAAAAAAAAAAACTCTGCCATTTCGTATTTAATAGCCTCCAGGTTTTCAGTAATGTTATTTGCTCTGTGTGTGCGCGTGCGTGTGTGTGTATGTGCACGCCTGTGCATGTGCATTTGTGCATATGCATGAGTCTCGTTGCCTAGGTTGGGGCCATTTCTGGACTAGGGCCGTTAGGCCTTGCCTGGTCTCCTCTGAACCCACCTCAGTCCCAGATTTGGCTGCATCTTGAATTATGCTGTTTCCAGAGTGTCCCCTCCTTGGTTGCCCATGGCTCTTGAGCCCTGACCATCTGAATGGAGCAGCTGAGTTTAGCTCCACGTTTCTGCACTGTTTCTTGTTTGGAGCTGGAATATTTCGCATGAAGCTGTATGCAAACAGACAGCCATGAAATGGGTGGCCAGGATTGCTGCAGCCCATAGCTAGATCCCCTTCCTGCCACCTGGTAGTGACAGGGACAAGACAACTGCTGATACCCTGCTCTTTATTCAAATGGTACGCAGGAAGTGGGGTGGGGGGAGCAGGTGAGCTGAGGGCTGGAGGACAACAGCCACTGGGTGAGCTGTTAACGGTTTATACTATTGTTTACTCTTCTGTGATTAAAAGTGCTTCAACCCTCATCTGCTGTCTCAACCTCTTTAGTGACTCTATCCCCAGTTCCCTGAATCCACAGTCTGATTAATAACTTTTTCAGATCTGATTCTAGAGGCCATTGGACACCAAGTTTTTCCTTTCTGGGCATATGCTAGAGAGAGAGTACCTGCATTTTAAGGCTTTATATTTTAAGAAAAAATAAACATGTGTAGTGTTCATAAGAAAAAATACTGAGCAAATAAAAGCATGTATATTGCCTAAGCAGCAAAGACTGGTTGAAGAGCTAAGACACCTGAGTATTTTCTGTATTTCCCATTTTATTGACTACAGAGACTGCCAGTTAACATCCTAAGATGGCAATAAGTGAGTCTAAACCAATGTTTTCTCTTTTAATTCTGGTTTCTCTTTTAGCCCATGGAGAATTAATTTTCCTAGTCTAGATTTTTCTACAGTTGAGGTTTAAGGCAAAATTACCAACAGTAGTATTCATCTCTTAGAATATTTTCCATTTAGTGAATATTCAGATTATCAAAATATTTCCAGATGCTCTTGTGTACATTAAGACATATGGAGTGCTTCCTTAACAATGTTAAGGAGACAGATAAAAATGGAAAGAAATAGGTTATTGTAGGTTATTGTTCTAAGAATCAGACACTCATTTGATGTTCATTGACATTACTGGGATATTGACCCTACTAAATTTATCTTACCGAGTGACTGGATTTTAAAAAAGACTTACTGTATATAGCTCAAGGGCAAATTAAGTTCTAAAAAATTTTACGTAGTTATTCAGTCAGAACTAGTCAGGAAGACTAAAAGACTAAAGTCTTACATTTAGTTCCTAAACTTACCATTTTGTTGAATAGTAATTGTGAAACATGAAAATGCTTTGGAAAGTCAGACAAGATATGTATGCCTTTTGAACAATTGCTTTGTAAATACGATTGAATTAGTTGGCCCAGTTAATCTGACACGTGGTATAATTAAAATAATAATAGCTAACACATAGCTCTTTATTACGTACCAGGTACTGTATCAAGCACTTTATAGAGGACTAAAATACAGCAAAACAGGTTAACTTCACTAAACTCAAACACCTAGTAAAGAATCAATCTCAGAGTCTCTATTCTTAATCACCATACTATAACACTTCTCAAGACTTCACATAAGGAAGAATAGTTGTTGAAGAAACTTCTAGTCAGAGGCATAGACTGATTAGAGTTAACTTTGGATGACTGAATTGAGATTAGAGTCGGTTATAGGAACAGGGCTTTTTCTGAGCATATAGTTGGAATTGGAGGGAAATGAGAATCCTAGAGGGTTTGAATCCAGAACTGGGAGATAATCATGTTAACTGGGACGGCAAGACTGTTGTGAGGCCAGATTTATAGATGGCCTTAGAAGGTTTCATGCCTGAGAGCAGGTTAGATGCAAACACATCATCCCTACCTGAGAACTAGGAATATTTATAAGAGAAGCAAGGCATTACCTCTCCTTTTTTGAATATAAAAGAATTTGAGAGACCCCTGGAGGTCCAGCCATTAAAGTCCACATTTCCACTATAGGAGGTGTGGGTTCTATCCCTAGTCAGGGAACTAGATCCCACATGAAGTTTTAACTTTATTATTTACTGAAAAAGTAACATGTTTGTATAGGGCTTAACTGCTTTGAAGATGATTTCACAACTTCAGCGAACTTCAGAACACTTTGTACAAATAGGGATTATTATCCACATTCTATAAATGAGTGTTCGGATTGTACCTTGACCCTAAGTGGGAAGCTGCTATAAATTGGGAAGCCATACCAGGGCTTCCCTGAGAGCTCAGTTGGTAAACAATCCTCCTGCAATGCAGGAGACCCTGGTTCAATTCCTGGGTCCAGAAGATCCACTGGAGAAGGGATAGGCTACTCACTCCAGTATTCTTGGGCTTCCCTTGTGGCTCAGCTGGTAAAGAATCCACCTGCAATGAGCGAAACCTGAGTTTGATCCCTGGGTTGGGAAGATCCCCTGGAGAAGGAAAAGGCTACCCACTCCAGTATTTTGGCCTGGAGAATTCCATGGACTGTATAGTCCATGGGGTCGCAAAGAGTTGGACACAACAGAGCGATTTTCACTGTGTCCACCTAAAAATATAATGGTGTAAAACAACAGCTTATTTCTTACAGTTTGGTTGGTTGAATGATCCCAGTTGGAAGTACCTCATGTGGTTACAGTAAGATGGCAGCTGGGAATGTAGTAGTTTTAGAGACTCAACTGAGCTGGATGTCAAAGATGATTTACTAGTCTGGCTAGAAGTTAATGCTGGCCATTCCCTAGGAACTGCTGGGGCTGTCAACTAATATACCTAAACATATCTTTCCATGCCTTGGGCTTTGCTCAAATGGTTGCATTGCGTAATGCGGGAAGCAGAAGTCATTAGGCCAGTTAGTATTGATTCAGGGAATTCCCTGGCGGTCCAATGGTTAGGACTTGGTGCTTTCACTGTGGTGGCCCAGGTTCAATCCCTGGTTGGGGAATTAAGATCCCACAAGCCTTGCAGTGTGCCCCCCCCCCCCAAAAGAATGTTGACTGGAACTGGCACACATTACTTCCACTGTATCCTATTGATTGAAGTAGTCACAGGGACCACCTAGATACCAGGGAGTGCTGAGGTAAATTCTGCCTCTTGATGAAGGATTGGTGAGGTCACTGCAGAAGAGCATGGGGAAGGACTTCCCTGGTGGTCCAGTGGTTAAAAATCCATCTTCTAATGCAGGGAATGCGGGTTCAATCCCCGGTTGGGGACCTAACAGCCCACATGCTGCAGGTCAGCTAAGCCCATGTGCCACAAGTAAAGAGCCCACTTCCTCTGAGCTCATGTTCCACAACAGGAGAAGCCGCTTGCACACCATAACTAGAGCAAGCCCATGTGCCAAAAATGAATACCCAGTGCAGACAAAAATTGTTTTAAAAAGAGCTTGGAGAATGATTGCATTCACCTTTGAAAAATTCAGTCTGCCACAGTGAAAAAACAGTCTCAGAAGTTGTTCAAAAAACACAAACATCTTAGATGCCTGTTGTATATCATGAGCTTTCACAATCCTAAAAATAATCATGAGTGTAGTTAGTGGGTGGTAGTATGCTTATTTTAAAGGAAGTTCTTCAGACTTTAGACCCAATATGCCTGCAGGAAGATACTTTCACTTCAATGAAATATTTATCAAGTGCCTACTTGATGATAGGCATTGTGGCAGAGAAGCTAGAGTCACAAAGATGAACAAGATCTGGTTTCTACTTTCAAAGAGCTCAGAAACCAGTAAGGAAAGGGGGGAGGGGGCAGGGAATGATACAATGTGATAGCAACTGTTCTAAATTGTTCTTGGCAAGGTGAGAGAAAACTTGAAAGTGGAGCTGGACCATTAAAGATGAGTAGAGCTTTGCCAGGAAAACAGGAATAGGAAGATTATGTTTAGGAGAGATGGGAGTATATGAAAGATATCAGTTCTGGCTGATATGAAATAACTTGAGACAAACATCTAGAAATGGTGGATAAACTTGAGGTGGTTTTTGTTTTTCTTCCCTTTAATGCACAGCTGAGCTTCTAAGAAAGGGACACGAGATGCAAAGCAGTTGAAAACTAGAGCAGAAGGCAAAACCTTTGATGCAGTTACTGAAGGAATAAAGACTGGGGTTTTAATGCTGACAAGAGACAAGGCTGTGGCCCCATGCAGGAAGCTGAACTGAGACCTCGAGTTAAAGCAACAGCAAAAGGAGGGAACTATGAAAAATCCATGCAGTTGGCAAAAGGAGAAAGCAAAGATGTTTGAATGCTTGGGCTTGTGAGGTCAGGATGCTCTTGCGAATATCCTCAAATTCTGGGCCCATACTTCATATGAATTTGAGAACCTAAATGCATACTTCCTATGTGGTCTGGGAAACATCACAACCCCCAACCCCATCCCCAGGTATGAACTTGCAGGAAAATTGATCTCAGATTAATTATCTCTGGGCCTGTTTTGGGAAGACCTATACATGATGCAGACAATGTTGGGGTTCTTACTAATACACTACCACCAACACCCCCCACCAAATAGAAAAGTTCCAAAAGATTATCTCAAGCCTGCAGCACATATAACTTAACAAAATACAAGTATCCAGAATGTATATAATTAAAGAAATGACAAGGACAACCCAATAGGAAGAAAAGGAGAGAGGGGAGGGAACAAAGGATATGAATAGGTAATTCCTAGAGAGTGAATATGCCAATGGATAATCAATAAAAAGGTGATCAACCTTACTAGAAATCAATGATATGTAAAATAAATAGAATCCACTTTACACCAACAGAATGAGGAAATGTTGCCAGTGTGAGTAACATTGACATAACTTTTGGAAAAGCAACTTAGTAACTAGTAAAGCTAAGTATCTTTTGTAGAAACTAGAACAAGGAAACTAATTGCATTGCTGTTTACAAGTGGGGAAAAAGTGGGAAAAGATCAGTGATCTTTCCACTAGGGAAATGGAATAAATTAATCTGCTCATGTAATTGAAATATTATACAACAACTAAAATGAAGAGCTAAGTTTTCCTGTTAATATGGATGTGTAGTCCAAACCAGTAGGACATATATATATATATTTATGTATGAATTTTCAAAAATGTTATAGGGAATTGTTTCATGTGGTTTTGGAGTCTGAGAAATCTCAGGACCAATAGTCAGCAAGCTAGAGATCCAAGAAGGCTATAGTTGATGGTATAGTTCCAATTTGAGTCCAAAAGCCTGAAAACTAGGAAAGCCAGTAGTGAAAGCTGCAGTCCAAGTCCATAGGCGGGGGATGACAAATGTTCCAGCTCAAAGACAGTCAAGTAGAAAGGCTGCCCTCTTACTCTACCTTTTAAAAAAGTTAAAGGAACCTCCCTGGTGATCCAGTGGCCAAGACTGCACTCTTAATGCAGGGGACCTGGGTTTGATCCCTGGTCAGGGAACTAGATCCCACATGTCACAACTAAAGATTGAAGATCCCACATACTGTAACTAAGACCTGG